ACCCGTTTTACGTAAAGTGGCGTAATACTCTGTGAAAAACGCCATATTCGCGGTGATATGCAGTACTCGTTACACATATTTTCCACTACTATTTTTCATACCACTAGGGTGGTGAAACTCCATAAAAAACTCCCCCCTCACTACCGGGTCCACATACAGGTCCATAGGCCATCGGTAAGCAACTGATCTCGGTATAAGAACGTTCGTCCAATTGTATGCTGCCGTCTGCCCTTCATGATACGGTTCGATCTTCATACTACACGAGTACCTTACAACACTAATAATATCTTCTAGATCTACCATAACTCGACCAACTTCGGTGACATATTTATCGGCTCGGCAAATCCCAACGATCGACGAACCGCATCTACTGCCAGTCCGAACGGTCCAACCTAATAGTAAAAATCATTGGCAAAAAAATACCACCCGCACCGCGAAGATTTCAAGATACTCCCCGAAAATCCCTATCGTCCAATTAAAGGGAAAAAAACCAAAAATCACAGCCCTCAAAAGTCAAAATCATGCAAATTTTCCGTCTATAAAAAAATTTTTCCACGAAAAAATCCCAAAAAAATAAAATCGACACTGTACGAATTTTACAGCAACATATCCAAAAATAATATTTTTTTCCAAAAATTCTTATTCTACTGCCCAACGCTCAACTTTACACACTAAAGAACTTCACGATTCTTCCACTATTTTCCAGAACCGATTCACGATTTCGCTCGCCCGACAAATCTTAATTTCACAGAACTATTCACGTGCTACGGAAGGCTTAAACGGCGATCAATTTTTACTGTATAAATTTCGTGCCGTTTTTCGTAACTGCGATATATATTCCCTATTACAGTTACTGAGAACGGTATGATGGGTGTGAAAGTTGCCAGAAAAATTGCCGATATTTACCATTTTTCCGACAAATTTCGATACGCAATGAAGTAAAACTAATAAATGTGGTATGAGATGAACGGTAGATGGTAAAAGCTTATTATTATACAATGGAGTTTCACCACCCTAGTGATATGGAAAACACCAGTGAAAAACGTATTTCACGACTACTGCGCACCACGAATATCGCATTTTCCTCCCAGTTTTACGCCACTTCACGTAAAACGGGTGGTGAGACTCCAATAGTACTCCAATTTCATTTTCACATACCACAAATTCAACCTCCCCGACCACTACCATAGGCCTCCTGGCATCCCCCTCAGCCAAGACTGCCGCTTCTCGCGATGACCCTTTATAAAGGGAACTTCTTACAGCACTACCACCCGAAATGTTAGACCACATAGAGCGAACCTAAAGTGAAATGCAAAACTACGAGGGTAAATACTGCATTGAAAATCGATTTTTTTTTCTCATATCCTCAAAAATTTCAGCACGGACGCATAATAGCGCCAAAAATCTCAAATCACAAGGAAGATATATGATAGATGATTCACTTGGTTATTCTGAGATTCAGTCTGACGGCCAACTTCGTATGTTGGTGACAATGTGAAAATTTGGAGAAAATTTAGGGACAGTTTCCTTGGTTTTTGTGCACTACTACCCGAACTCGTATGTAAACTTGCATAATCAGCTTTAGAAACTCCCAAGCTCAGCTGAGGGGAGCAGACATATATCTTCCTACTCCAACATTGCTAAGATTCATTTCTTGCCACCCGTAAAAGATTCACTAAACGCCCAGCTGATGACAACTAGCGTAGATTAACTCGAAACAGTGTTGATAGCTATGTTCGCTTTCCTCAACTGACACACGAAAAATCATCAAGAATTTTCCAAAATTTCCTCAGAATTTTCATATTGTCACCAACACACATAGTTGACCATGTGCATATCCCCGCCCCACCACAACACTGTAAGAGGATTACTACCATCGGTGCTAAGGATGCCGTTTTCATGTTAGTTTCCATAGACTCCCCGAATTTGATTCCCTCTACACCATTTTCAGCCGAGGCTTCGATCAGCGCGCCCTCGGACGATCGCTGAATCTTAGGGGAACTACTACTAGAGCTCATGAGAGTATCTAAGGTTCAACTAGACTGCCGACAGAAAATAAGATACCTTTACTATTCCTCACACCTAATATACGTTTCTATTAACCTTAATGGATGTCGCCAAACATAAGACTAAATTATCACGAACCATTAAAACCATACCACATCACGGCGAACTCTTCTCACTTCACGCCATGACTCCCTATAGACATAAAGGCGTTATGAATGAGCATCCCACTACTGGTTCAACAGACATTTCACTATAAACATCAGTGGAGTTTCACCACCAGCCGTGATATGAAAACACTAGTGAAAAACATATTTCACGACTACTACAGTATACCGCGAATACCGCGTTTTTCACCAAGTTTTACGCGGCACTTCACGTAAACCATTATTACCAGTATTACATACCGTAACATTATAAAAGTTATCTCCCCCTGAGTTCTCCCCAAAATTTCTACTACCATTGTTCACTACGGAGCTCAGCGTGGTCAACTTCCGCCGTAGTATTAGCCGACAGACACTCCCAAGATGGACGGGGCGTAAGGTAGATTGTGAAATTATCATCAGCAACTGATACGAGAAGAAAACCAAAGACGCCATTTTAGGGCGCGCGCTTAATTTCATGGCGCGTGACAAAATTTGTGAGCAGTATTTGAGTTTCCATACCGATCAAACTGATGACAATGGACGAAGTAATAGCGATCGTCGCCCGTACTGATGCTGATCTCATTGAGGAGGTCACCAACATCAAAGCTGAGGCGGATGACAGCGAAAACAGCATAAGAATAGAGAATGAGAACGCGCGGATGGACAGGTACTGATTCTTGTGTGGATTCACAAAAATAAAAAAAATATAAACAAAAAAATAAAAATGTACAAGTCGAAATATGCACATGTTTACCGACGACGTGTGCTGGAAATTTTTGCGAATTCTCTTTTATTTCTGTACATTTCAAAGGGCCTTGGAGGGGATTTCAACTCGGGAGCAATTCTTCACATTTTCTTCCTCCACAAAATTATATTGTTACAATGGACAATCGAATTCAATGCCAACATTAACTTTCCAACGTTTCTAATGACCATTTCTAATAATAAGCTCGCTCTCTATCACAACTACTTCATCGTTGATAAAAATACTCGTATAATTTCGCAAAGTTTTTCTTTTTTTTTCTGTTTTGTCTGGCTATTCACGCCGGGAGAAGTCATTGGATCTGCGAAATTATCAGACCAAAAATGGAGCTTCACCGATGTGAAAAACCCGTATATTCGCACTATACAGTAGTTGTGAAATATATATTTTTCACTAGTGTTTTTCATTTCACGGCTGGTGAAACTCCAATGGTCGTATCGCGTAACTAGATTTTCGACTAAAAAAAGGAAAATTCTCAACGCAACAATGGACTTTTGAAATGCTATGTATAGTATCGGGATCTTGCTGAAAGGTGGATAATAACTCCTCTGAAAAATGCTGACGAAAATCGGTAAATAAATTACATCTATTGTAAATCGAAACTTAGCAGCAAATATTCATTTTTCAACGACAGCAGTTCGTTATAATAGTTTTATTTTTTACCATTTTTTCCACCACGCTCAATTGATATTTTTAAAAAAATTTTGAAAAAATTGCAAAAATTTTGCCGGAAAATATCGTTTTTTCCAGATATGAAGCACTTCAAATAGAAGCGGTTACATCTAATAGGAAGAACGCAGCAGTTGATATGAAGTGGGCAGACTTCGATCGGATTAAAATTGCCCGAGTAGTATTAAAAATGTCCTCGCTAGGAATCGTACCCGGGACCTCCTCAGGAACTAGCCAAGGAGTTGGAAATGCAGACCAAAGCCTGTCAAGCTATTATCGATTCTAAAGTGAGGGAGATTTTTGTCACGCGCCATGAAATTATTCGTCCTTAGGATCGCCGAATTCGAGAATTTCTGAGTGAACTTGAAGACAAAAACTACTCATACGTGAAAGCTATGGAGCGGGCAGAGCAAGACGTAATGCACTCTGGAAAAAATTGTTGTTGTAGTAGTAGAAACAGTGTTGGAGTAGGAATATCTGTTCGCCTTGCTCAGCTGCTGAGCTTAGGAGTTCCGAAAGCTGATAGGAGTCTGCCGAGAAGAATGCAGAAATTTATGAAATTTTCCCAAACTTTTCTCGGAATTTTTTCCACACACTGGGTAGTGGTATGGAATAAAATCAAGTAAAACACGATGTATGGAAATTTTTGGTTTTTTGTTGCAACGAAATTCCCTACATTGAAAACTCTAACAAAGAGAATGAAATTTCGATCATCATTTTTGTGAAATTTCCAAAATTTCCGGAAAAAATCAGTCGTGAATTTTTTTATTGCCGAGAAATCAGTCGATAATTTTGGGGCGCGTGACGGTTGGCTATAGGTTGGGAAAATGTCGAAGTTGATAACAGCGAATATAAGGAAGCAACGAGACGTCCATAGAAAACAGCTGGAATCTTTCGAACGTCTTTTGGAGAGAGAAAGAGTTGATCTTTTAGACAAGCAAAAAAGAGAAATGGATGATCTCTTTGAGAAAAGGCGACAAGTAATATCATGTTTTTAATGGAGTTCCACTAACGGTGATATGAAAAAAAAACACGGGAGTTTTACGCGTTTTACGCGAAGCGGCGATATTCGCGGTGATATGCAGTAGTTGTGGAATATATTTTCCAGTAGTGCTTTTTCATATCACTAGGGTGAAAACGCGATTAGGAATGAAAAAAACATATTTCACATTTCACTTTGCGGAAAACAATTTTCGTTGCCGAAAAATATGCGAAAATTTTTATGGAGTATTACGCCACTTCACGTTAACTTGTGTGAAGGCGTCGGGTTAGCTGCTGCGATAACGGAATTGCATTTTCTACGTTGGAGTTTCACTTGTGAGATTAAAAACAGTAGTGAAAAACATACTTCACAGCTAACGTATAGTGAATAACGCGTAAATTACGTCATGTGTCTTTTTTACGGAAAATTTGCCGAGAAATTTCAATTTACTTTACATCGCGTTTTTCACGTGGAAAAGTTCCAATGATGAGAAATACGGACTATGTCGGGTGGTTTTTCTTAGAGGGAAGAAAATGAATTTTTCGACCAACGACAGGAACGTGAAAAAGGATTCCAGCAGAGGACCGACGAGTTATTGCATCGGGTAGGACAAGGGGAGAAAAGTGGGTAAAAAAATCCGTAATTTTTTTCATCAAATTTTCGAAAAAATAACTTGCTTAGTCCGCGTGTTATTGCCCATTTTACTTGAAAAAAATTCGATGATTTTTTTGGTAAAAAAATTTGAAAAAATTTCGCAAACTAGGCCTTCTCGGAGAAGGGGCGGAGCTCGGCATCCGGGTTCGATTCCCATGCCTGGCATTTTTCTGCAAAAATATGTTTTTTGCACGGAAATCTACATGGTCCGGGCGGAACCCTAATTTCGTATTTTTCCTAGTATCCCCAGAGCGAGAGCTATCGAATGGTGTATAGCATGTGATCATAACCTCTCTAGATCGAGCTGGATAATTTGTACGCACGCACGCACGCACAAAGTGTTAGTAAAGTGAGAGAATACGCTCCGCTCGCTTCGCTCGCTCCGCAATTTGAGTTTTTATGTTTCTATGGAATTAGCAGTAATGAATTCGTGATCGTTCCGAGATGAAGTCGGGCGTTTTCACTCAGTGTAAAATCGTTGAAATTTTTTCGTAAAAAAATAAATTTTCCGTTCCGAAAATATTTTTCTCATGTATTAATTTCCTTTCGAAAATTAATTTTTCCGTGTATTTTTTTCCGTTTCGAAAAAATTTTTTCCCAAGTCAGGACCTCGACGAGTTCAATAAAGCGAAGATATCGTTGGAAAATTCGATAAACGAATTGGAGGAGCATTCTGAGCGAACAATGGCAACTTATCAGTTAAATAAAGAGAAATTGGATTACAATTTGCAGGTGGGAAATCTTGGAATCTTGAGAGCTCTTGCATTTCCTCAACGAAATGTGTTGGTGATATTCATGGAAAATGCTCTTTGGTTTTCGTATGTCAACTTTTACAGTGGAGTTTTAGGCGTGATATGATGAAAAACATATTTCACGTTTCACGTTGAAGTGCGTGAAAAATGGATTTTATTTTTCCGGTTGGTGAAATTGAGTTTTAGCCGTTATGTGGAAAACGCTAGTGAAAAAAACAGATTTCACATTTGTGAATATTACGTTTTTTGCAAGGGAAAATTACGCCACTTGTCGTAAAATGGTTGAAACTCTCGAGCTCAGCTGAAGGAAGCGAACATATATTCCTAAACGGTGATAATGGAGTTTCACCACCCTAGTGATATGAAAAACACATTCCACGACTACTACAGATATCGCGTTTTTCATGGAGTTTTACGCGCCACTTCACGTAAAACGGGTCGTGCAACTTCAATTTTGTCGGCAGGTTCTCGCAGAAAGAAATAAGGAGCATACCGCTATTGAAGCCGCGTATAAAATGAAGTTGGGGAAAATGCGAAATGCTAAGCAGAAGATATCTCAAAAGTGATTTTATGTATTTCTACGGTGAATTGTTATATTGCTGACAGTGAATTTCTGGAAAAAATAGGAACACGAAACGAATAATCGTTCGACTGCGCAGGGAAATTATGTGAGAAATCGGATTTTTTTACCCGTTATTAATCGTCGGTATGATGTAAAAGGGTAAATTTCGCGTTTTATCGTTATTGACACGCGTGAGCGAATAAACGTTCGGGTTAATTTAGAAAAATTTTAATCACCGGAAAATTCACTATGGAGTCTGTCAACTTGTACGTGAGGGGAATGGCAATCGTCTTGAAGGTTTGCCGAGATGGAGGCGACTCTGCGGAAGGAGAACACTGACTTGACTGAAGACCTCGACAGACTAATGCAACAATATCGGCAAGTATTGGAGAAGACGCAAACTTTCCAAGAACAGGATGAGAAAAAATTTTCGGAAATTTGGGCGAATAACGAGAGGGAAGTCAAAAGTTTGGTGGAAAAGGTCTTGGATGGTGATAGGATTATACATGAACAGGTGAGATTGAAATTATGAAATCGATCACTGGGGCGCGCGCGGTTGTTGTAGGGCTTAGGGCGGCTGGAATATAAAAAGAAGTGGGTGATTTTTTCCTGCTATATCGAAAAAAAGGGGGAAATTTTTTGACGTCGAAATTCGAAATTGATGGAAAATTTAACCCATGTGCATTTGGTTTTCTTTTCTTGTTAGTTGTTGGGTCTCGATTGGGCAGTGCCAAGCGTGGAGCAAATGCAGCAGGAGATAGAGGTTATGAGCGAGGCAGGGACGGTGACGGGGAAGGCCTCTACTGCGCTGCTGAGCAGTGAAAGCGGTCGTACTGCTAGTTCAGGAGGAGGAAGATTTTCGGTAAGAAATTTCATGGGAATCGTAAAGGTTGTGTTTTTTTCGATTTTTTTTCGGGAAATTTTTCGGGTAATTTTCCAGGTTCGGCTCGCGAATGTTTTATCAAAGTTTCACCCGTTTTATGTGAAGTGGCGTAATACTCAGCGAAAAACGCGAAATTTGCGGTGATATGCAGTAGTCGTGAAATATGTTATTTCATCGTTGTTTTCATATCACTAGGGTGAAACTCTTATTTTTTTTAAGTTTTTCCGAATTTTCTGTGCGATTTTCTTTCATGCTGGACTCGTGAATATTTAATTCTTTTTGCATTTTTTTGCAATTTTTTGCGATTTTTTTTGCATTTTTTGTCAATTTTAGGGTAGCAAAGTGAAAGCAGTGATGGATTGGATTCGCGAAGAGGCCGCATTCTTACTCGACATCAACGTGAAGGAGCAATGCAAGGACCTGCCACCTGAGCACAGGGCTGTTGTTGAGGTAAAAAAAATTTCCTGATTTTTTTCCACAAAATATAAATTTTCAGATTGATGCGATTCTACGGGCGATTGGTTGTGATGATCAACGCGACATAGACTTGCTAGTATCCCAATTTTTCCGCGGCCAAGATGAAGACGATGAGACGTGTTTGGTGGAAGCAGACGACATTTTGAAATTAATAACGGAATTTATGGTAGAAAAGGAAAATCTCAAATTGGCTGAAGTGGCACCCGATAAGTATGTTGGGGCGAAAATTTGAAAAATTTTTGGTAAAATTATTTTAATTAGGAAAAAGAAAGGCCAGAAGGGTGGAGAGAAAACTGATGCGGAAAAAGCAGCCCGAAGGCGTCGAGAAGAGCGGAAGTATCTTGAGGTTCGGTATGAAAGATACGGATCATGCCCGATTAGGTTCTGGGAGAGAATTGGCCATGCGTTGCCGTCAATGAATGTTCGCCTCCATGAAGCTGTGGAGAGCTGTCTTAATCGACAGCTGAAGTTGCTGAACTTACGTGCAACTGCGGTACAGGCGTGTGTTGATATTGAAAAGGAAAATGTGGAGGTGAGCATGCAGATGTAGTTTGTAGCACTGGGCGTGGGAAAATTTGGAAAATTTTGGGAATTTTTTGCCGGTATTTGTGAAAATTTCTGCTGAGAAAAACGGACATATATTTCGACATTGTGAAGTTCTATTTTCAGCTGAAGTCCGTACTGGATGCGTATCTAGGGAGCGAGGTCAATCAGAGCCTCCGGATTCCTCCAACACACATGATCAGAGTCTTGAGCAAAATTCCTACTACTGCCTCCTCGAATTCAGCCGGGAAATAAAATCTTTGCTGTGCGCAAGCATGAAGATATTTTGTTGTCAAAAGGGTCAATTGTTGTTGTGTTGATGATGAATATGAAGATATTTTTTTCCTGGGCCGGAGTGTAAAAGGGAAATGCCGGCTTCGTCATCATCTTCGCATCACCATCATCACAACAATTCGCGTCACCCTGAGGCTTCGTTCGATGCTGAAGAGGCGATGGCGATATTGTCGAAGGCGCGAGAACATAACTGTGCAGCAGCCTTTCTGGAACCTGTCGCGTGGGAGGACGTACCGGGGCTGCAGGACTACCCTCTTGTTGTGAAGCGCCCGATGGATCTGGGTAAGACTCTCATTCTCGATTAGTGTGGGAAACCACATGTGTCGATGATGATATGAAATTTCGGGTAGTTGTTACGAGTCCAGGTAGAAGTGTATAAAAATCAACAAGAATTTCCTGAAATTTTCTCGGAGTTCTCATGTTATGACCAACACCTGTAGTTGACCATGTGCATGTTTTCCCGCACTGTTCCCGATTGATTTTGGAGTTTTCCTGTAGGTACGATTTCGGCAAAAGTGGAGAAGGAAGGCGAAGATGCTTATGATGATTTTGGGGAGTTTGAGGACGACCTCAATCTGATATGGGATAATTGTCATCTTTTCAATCAACCAGGATCGTACATGTGAGTGGTATCTTTAGGTTGAGCGGGAAAGATACGGATGAGGTCCTTACTGTTAGATATAAAATGGCTACAAAAATGCGTTCGTATTGTCAAAGCCTCTGTGCGTCTTGTATCGCTGCTCGCAATAGGAAAAAACGAAAAGTGTAAAAACTTCCCAACAGCAGAGTGTAACTCGCTAGGCTCAGGAGTCACTCGTCAGAAGGAAAGCAGTCGAAGAGTCGGCGCTCAAGTGTGACAATCAGCGATAAGCCATCTCGAGGGGAGGCTAAGGCTGAGGGGGAATACCCCTTTGCCACAACAGAAGTCGCCCCTCCACTGGACAAGGCGGCCGTAGATGAACTGTAAGGGTGGTATGATTTTAGACAATATTATCACATGTCCCACTTAGTGTTGGAGCTTGGAAATTTCTTCACCTGTTGTAGAAGTTTACATACGAATCCGGAAAGGAGTGTAAAGAAACCAATAGAAATTTCCCAGAATTTCAATATTTTCACCAACACATGTAGTTGACCATATGCATATTTCCCCACAGTGGTCGCACTTAGTGAAAAAAAAAATTGCAACTCCTCTAGTCAGCGTTATGACGATGATGAGCATCTTCCTCAGGCATGCCGCGAAGCTCCGTCTCGGATGGAGACTCCACAGTTCTCTATCTCCTAAGGAGTTGGCGCTCGTCGTGGAGTTCATGCGCTCCCGTAAGACTACAGCGTTAAAGCCGGTAAGCCTGTTGGCCACCCTTGATGACTCTATTCTTTTCCTTTTTTTTCAGCTCGGCCCGCCAGACCAAGACACTGGGGCAGAATCTCTACTAGTCGATATCGACTATCTCTCTGCACTCGATTACGGCTGTTTTACTGACGTATCACAACTTGTAGATTTGATTATACGATATAGAGAAAGTTCATGAGAAAACCATTGTCGTGTTACAAGTCTCAAGGCGGTGGCGATATCCTCTTCTATCAAGGCAAATTCGAATACTTAGTGTTGCGTCTTAACTGAATAGTGGCTCAGGATACACTCCTCAATATCAACTTTAAAAATCCCTCACTAGTCGAATCTGTTTCATTAAAATTACCTCACTGGTGTCTGTGGGCAAAGCATCCCTGTCCTATCTGCTGTCTAGAAGTATATTCCTATCGAACACTCAATAAAACCTCTCTGAAGTCCTTTTTGTTTTCCCAATTTGGCAGTAAAGACCAATAATCAGATATTTAATCGAACAACTTGACTGTAGTCTTATTCCCACTTTTTCCACTACGTGATAATGCACCTTGATAACGAGAGACTACTGAGTTCGTCCATGTGGCTTCTAATCTTCCGCTACCACTTATCAACTCTAGACACTTTTCATCAGCAACAACATCAGCACAGTAAATGCCAACAATCATGAATCTATTTTTTCTTCTTTTTATCCGCTTCATCGGCGAGAGCAGCAGCCTCCATTTTTCGGGTCTGAGAATAATCATATCTTCCTCATCGTGGACTAGCATGACCAACCTCTTCCTGCATTTGAAGGTTGCGTGCCTTGTCGCCAGAAGCTTCATAATCGAACTCCTTGAATTTCTTATACTCTTCTTTCCAAGAATATTGACATCGAGACAACGGCTCTATAAACTCATGCAGTGTCTAAGGCAACGGTATGTCAACTACTTCCAACACCGATCCCACTCACCAAAGGCCGCTGTTCCAACCGAGACAACCGTCGTTTGGAAAGGACCTAAGGGGACAGCATTGTTACTCTACTTCATCACTCACTCTACTTACTCGATCTACCACTCTTTTGATAGACCTCGTAGTGTACCCTTCACTGATATGAGCCAAGCTAGTCAGATTGAGACAACTACTGCTGGTCACATGGGGCGGTACCTGAAGACAGAAACCTTAAACAATTCGACCATTGCTGTTGCCGTTTACTCCTTTATTCACCATAAGAGACTTCCACAATATCATTCTCGTACCGAAATCAGGGGTGGACACCCAAATCTTCTCATCGAACGCCTTGATGAGCTCCTTCCTATCAACAGCATCTCCGAAAGGGTTCGAAGTACCTTCGAAGAATAGCTTATTAGTGAGGACGATCTCAAGCAACAAGCCTATAGAGTTATTCATTTCTGTTCAATCATCCACGATGATATTGCAATATTAATGCCATTTATCATACAGATGATCAGTTTATCATCAACAACAGCAATCTCGTGCTTTACCCAATTCACCAGTCAATAGCCCGTTGGGGCAGTACTGAGAGACTTTCGTCAATGCCGAGTTACTTCGCATATGAATACCACAACATCGTGAACTTCCCTTACATCCAATGAAGACTATCCTGTCTTGGTCTGTACTCTCAGGACCCGTCTTTATCTGCTTTATTGCCGCGATGAAGTCCTTCTTTATACGACTCGCTGGTTCGCCTGACATCATCCATATCATGCCACGGGTAACCACAAACTCTCCACTTCGAGGGCTTCCATCACTCTCCCCTCCTCCAGTTGCCTTGCCCTTCTTTTTCCCTTTTTTCACCGCTTGGAAGACCTACAGGAAGTCACCTCCACCCAACCACGATGAGCCTCTACCTCATCTATCTCGTCACAGTAGATAACAGCAGGAGCGTTGTCCTGTGCAACCAGGAAGGCCTTATAGACCAGCAACGCCGGGCCGAACTTCGGCTAAGGACAACACATTCACGACTATTCCCTATTCAGGGAAGACCCGACTTGCGTATATTTCCCTTCTATCTTCTTAGGAGAGATGTCGATGAAAGTGGCGCCGACTTCAGTGGCTATTATCCTCGCCAAAAGTGACTTTCCGCAGCCCTTCGGACCGTATCTGAAATTACCGCGCGCCACAAAATTCTGGGAATTTAGTAATTTTCAATCACCACATCCGAAAAAAAATATATGAAAATATAATTTCATTTTTCAAACGCGTCATTTCATAACGTCATCTGCCCCAAAGAACAACTCACAATAGTATTGACTTCGCAGTCAGGTTGCACTGTCGTCGTATAGTAGTAGAGGCCAGAGGGAGGCAGACATGTTCCACCAGCAGCGTCTTCACCTGAAATATCACCCTCGTAGGAGCGGAGCGATGCATAGCACTACCATCTGTGCACTAGGGGGTGGGCAGGCAGGCTCTCTCAGTCTCATGGTCGCCCCGAGGTAGGCGAACTCTCCCATAAAGTCATTCAGATGCGCCGGGGCTATACCTCGGATCAATCCCTGGACAGAAGAAAAAGAAGAAGTTACGATATTTACAACTGACGACACCTCTCTTTCCTATAGTGGAAATTACAATTTCGCGCGGCAGAGTTATATGGTAAATCTTGAAAATGAGCTGATATTTCCGAAATCAATAGTGACACTAGGGAAAGTATATATATGCATATCGCGGACTGAAGGCCCACATCGAGCCTTTTACATACTGCTCAATTGCCTCAACCTACTCCTCTAAATTCAGTTCAACATTTCATACATCTACATGACGAATATAAAATAAATTCGATTAAACAACATGTTATTATACTACAACGAGATGAATATACATGTAACTTCGAGCTTCGCGACCAACATCTGAGAATCCAAAGTTTACCTCCTGGACAAGTTCGGGCAGACAGTCCTCTCTATGTGTCACCGTACCCACCGCTGCACACCACTTCTTCACCTTCGCCTTCTTTTCCTTTTTCCCTATATTACGCCAATTCACACACACCGACGTCGTTGACATACCTTTGCCTTTCTTGCCCTTCTTCCCCTTCCCTTTTTTCTTCTTAGCTTTTTCATACATATTCTGCACCAGATCACGTGTCACCAACACCCACTCCGAACATTCGTAAAATTTATTTTCGCTTTCCTCAACACTGGCTTGAAAAGTTTCCTTACTTACTATAGGAGTTTACATAGGAATTCGGGTGAAAATATTCACAAAAAAATTAATGAGAAATTCCCAAAATTCCCCAACAATTTTCATACTGTCACCAACACATGTAGTTGAGCATGTTCATATTTTCCCGACTACCTTCAAATTCGCCAACTCTTCCTTGATCAGCTCATCCACCGCTTTCTGCACCTCCTCCTCAACAACAGGGAAGACCTTACCTCGAGTAAGCTGGAAAACAACACATCACTCTTCCAAATCGATTACCAGGGCGCGCGCTACCTCCACATCATAATGCTGCTCGTAGTTGCTGGACTCATCTCGGGTCTCCCACGTGTCGGCATACTCCTTCAAATGCTCGACCAACTTCTGAGCCACCTAGGGAGAGGAGTAGCCACATACCCATCAACGACTTCTCACCACAGAAGTACCAACATCATGAGTTTCCACAAGCTCTGCTGGCTCGGATGATTTCTTTGAGGTCTTCTTATCACCACCCTGAACACACCGTCACTGCCGAATGAATAAATTTCAAATTGCGGAGCGAGCGGAGCATATACCGCAACAACAGGCACTTTCGTGTTGTGCGTGCGTGCAGAATTATTCTGGCTTAACTACGAAGCGTGGGAGGCTATCAGATAGATCAAACGACTCCCCTATATGCGGAGGTGTTGGGGAAATGCAGATATGAGATGCAGAAAAGAGATATGCACAAAAAACTTTAATGATGGAGAAATGTCCTACACGGGGATCGAACCGGGGACCTATGTACAACTCATTGATTGAGTCCACGTCCGCTTCGTCACGAAGGCCTAGTAGCTTCAAAAATTAATACCGTACACTAATGCTCATAAAATCATCAACAAGTAAAAACCAAAAAGTTCAATCATTTTCTACGAAAAACTTCAAATTGGAAACCTAATATCGAATTTATCAATCTACCCATGGAACTATGAGGGATAATACTGCTATCAGCGCATACAAAACAAGTCGCCGTTCTCTCTCAGCTAGTGAACACACCGAGCATCGTATGGAACTGGAGTCCTGCGGCATGTATGGAGATCTCCCCCGACCATCCCACCTACCTTCTTTTTAGGAGTAGCCTTTTTCTCATCCTTCTTTCCTTTAACAACAACCTCTTCCTGGACCTGTTACTATCCATAAGCCTCATCACATGCACACCAACACTGACCTTATCCGGGACCTCAAATCGGGTATAGAAAGCTTCCAGTTCCACTGGAAAGGCTCCCGTCTGCTTGCGCACCTCCAAAATCCATTCTCGGCGCTCCTCGAGCATTTCACTACGGAGATCTTCGCCCTGAGAAAAATTTTCCCAAAAAAAATTTCACCAAATTTTCCCCACCTTATTTCGATGGCCCCACTCTAGCTCCTCAGCCAAGCCAATTTCATACCCTTTCTCAGCGTCCTCTTGCAACTGTTTTCTTTCTCGTCGGACTTCATCACTCAAAACCACCTGATAGTAACCCTATCCCGACAGCCCCCACAGGCGTCGTTACATGGTCAACTGCTGGCGTCTCACTGGGGAGTACCATGCCCAAAAACACATACTCTTCCTCTCTCATACGACGTACATGCTGTAATCACAATACCTCTCTTACTACTAGGCTCGAGCACTCACCCTTTTAGCCAACATCATTTTCCATGTGGCGGCTATTCTAGTAGCAGCTTCTCGCTGAACTTCTAGTAACTCCACGGACTGAAAAAGTTGATAATATAATCCCCGCATAGTTGAATGCAAGAGCATCACCTTCTTAGTTGCATCCAACGTGTCAACGCCCTCAGCCTCAAGTCGCTCTCTCCTGACAAACAAGCTCTTCCACGAAAGTATACTTTCCATTAACAGTTCGAAGCCGATACCACTCCCTCGTCACTTCATAGCTTCCGCTCGCCAGTTCCCTATCATCGTCGCCTTCTGTATCCCCGCTCGTCCCCGCTCATTCCTCTGTATGAGTCTGATGGCCTGGTCCAGCGTAAAGGGTATCTGTCACCACGACAATACCAATACCTACCTGCTCACGTTTTAAAGGCATTCTCCCCAGCTGAGCTTAGGAGTTCACATACGAATTCGGGTAGAAATAAATGAGAATTTCCTCAAATTTCATACCAACATATGTGCAAATTTTCCCCTCACGCTGGCGCCGATAGCACATGAAATTGATCCGAATGATCATCCAAATCATCAACTTTCCGGTCAACTCCAAAATGCTTCTGCCAATGTTCGATTCGTCTACTGCGGATTTCTATCCAATCTGCTCGCTCCGTGTCCCTCGTCAAATATCTCGGAAATTTCCAGTCCAGATCTTCAGGATTCATTTTCAGATCAGCGAGAATCTGCGAGGAGGAGGAGGGCAGCTGTGGCAAATTCGAAAGGAATCGACTCGCCTCGTCGAGAGCAACAAAACGGCTCCTGTGCCGGGGGTTGAAGAATATCAACTGTTCTTTCAATTCGAGTACTCTCACTATTATAGCTTCCATCACCTAAGAAGTGAAGGAGGAGTGGTATGAAAGATAATGGTCAAATTCGGACATGATTCGTATCTTACCAACTCCTACCTGCCGTATAAAGATACGTTTCTGTGGGTGAATCATTTGGTCGTATATGTCCTCAATTTTGGTATACAGTTGGAGGTACTTCGCATAGACTAAAGCAGTGGGCTGGAAACCCACATCCAGTATCTAAAAGGAAATTCTCAACTTGGTGATAGAAAATGAAGGCTCTCCTTCCCAGAGTTGTTTTACATTGGAATTTCATCATTTACCCTCTATGTGAAAAACGTGATATGAAGTGAACTCTCGCACCGGGCAGAAGCGGTTTTCGCCTCGTGAAGTGTGACATGTGTTTTTCATATCACGGGTGAAACTCCAATCCACAGAGGTAATCAATACATGGGCATTGGATCCATCTATAAGCAGGCTAGGATAATATGCATATGGTCAACTACATATGTCGCTTATAATATAGAAATTTTGAGGGATTCTTATTGGTTTCTGTACACTTCTACCCTAATTCGTATATAAACTCCTATAATTAGCTTTGGAAACTCCCGAGCTCAGGTGAGACCATCAAACGTCTTAGCAATGATACGGAATTATACAGGAAGGCACCTACGGGGGCGTCCTCGCGATCAGCAGCTGCGGGGAGGTGCTCGATTCGTATCTGCTCGAGGAGCTCCGTCATGGCATCAGCCCATCTATGTTGCCAGGCTTTGTTGGACATCGTAGTAAGGTAACTGTATCGAGTGAAATGTGGGTGAGGCGTGGTATTCGATCTCGATAAAAAAGAATTTATTTTCCTATTTATTTTCCTGTTCCGACTTCCGCAGCTCCCGCGCTCTCTCTGTGTTAGCTTTCCTATTCACTTTCCCATTTCACATTCCATATCAAGTCCACCTTCAGCTGAGCTGAATCAGCTGCCGGCGACAACAACAGGTTTGCAAAATTGTGAGAAAAATTCCTCCCCCACTTCAAAGGGGGGGCAATTCCAACACTACATCGACTATCTGTATCGATCTGAATCAACCTAAATATACTTACAGATTCGAAGTAGCGCACGCAGAGGCCAGGATAATTTCGGGCGAGCGATATTTGAAATTGTTTCTTTGCAAAAGCGCGCGCCCAGGAGCCGGATTAAATTTTTGAGCTCTTCGGAACTCTGTAAAGAAAGTAGTAGTTTCTTTTCAAGAAATTGATCAGAAATTTTCAAGTTAACGTCGTGAGATGAAGGGGGTGTATTTCCAGAAAGACCAGCGGATGCCATAAAATTTTGGGGAATTTGTTGAAATCTTACGGTGAAAAGTTTGAGAAAAAGGCATTTTTTTGTCAAAAAAGTGCGTAAATTATTGAAAATCCGGGAAAAATATATACAAAAAATTGACCTGAAAATGCGGTATGTACTCGCTTCTCCCCATCCTCCACAATTCTGAAGAGGAGGCAACAATCGAATTCATCCCCCTACAAAACGAACGGGTCTAAAGCCTTGCGTATAAGGCTCGCATTACTTCATGTAAAATGTATGATGGGCTACCGCAACCTCTACAGAGTTTGTAAGATGATGGTAATGTAACTGTCAGCTCCTTGAAGACCTCTTTCTCAATATTGTAGTGACTAGTGCGGATCCTAGTGCATGAGTATCACTCTGTAAACATTTCAGCATTCATTTGCCTTGTTCTTAACTGACGCGTGGTCACGCGCCCGTTTCAACGCTCTTCCCTACACATTGAGTTTAACGGCAGTGATCTCAGTACAATAGATGAAATAATAATCAGTGCTATCGCTGACACTGTATGCAACACATGCCATGTGCGCTAAACCAAGTCCGAGCATGTACATCGGACAACAACTGGACAACGCAAATAAGATCCCCACCGAATGAGAAAAAGCAACGGGAATCCTTTTACGGGAATGACCCTTCGGAAATGGAAATAACATCAATCTTGCTCAATAAGAATCTTCCTCATTTTGTCAATCAAATCATACGTCCTCTCCAAAGGTATACCATCTAGGGTCGGACCAGGCACTCCAGTAACACCATCACGAACACCCTTCTCTTGGAGAATGGCAGAGAGCTGTTCATGCTGCTCTCGAGACCAGTTGAGACCCAAACTCATCGCAAGGGCGAGGGAACCCCAGTCGCTCGTCCCGGCGACCAGACAAAAATCTGATCTCGTGCTCGTTTTGATGGATTCGCCCAGAGGAATGTACCTGACCAATTGCGTATGAAAAGTTATGATTCATAACAGTCTGTAATGAACAGAGTCGACACCAGTGTGGGAGAATATGTATGTGTGTCGGTGACGATATGGAAATTTCGCGGAAATTCTTCTTGGTTTTGGAACACTTGTACTCAAATTCGTATATAAACTGCTGTATTTAGTGAGGAAACTCCCAAGCTCAGCTGAGGAAAGCAAACAGCAAGCACATTTTCCTCCAATACTAGTCGACACAAGATACTCACTTGGCCACTAGATCTTGCAGAGGGCCCATACCCATCTCGTTGCCACCGTCACCAACAGCCACCGTCACGACCCCTTCCATCTCAGACAAGCAGTGTAGTGGAGCTATCTTGGCAGCGTCCATCTGCAAGTTGCGCATGGTCTTGTAGGGAGGCGCAGCTCTCTCGATGCAAACAACCGTGTGAACTCTCCCGATCTTCTTACTCACTTCACTAGGAGATGACGCCGGATCGACCCCGATAACAGGAATCTCATCGTCAGTCAGGACTGTGAGAACCTCAGCGATGTCCTCTTCAACACCGAGCGAGACCTCCCAGCCGACCGACTTCAACGCTTTTGCTACACACACTGAACCGATCAGACCGTCCGACTCGAACTGCGGAGGTGGTTTGTCAATACAGCAAGGCATTCCAGTGACGACTACCGCCCTGCCTCCCTCGGGTGGCCTACGGAGGGCGTCGACTGCTCTTGGTAGGACCCCTGGAGTGATCAGTGGACCGATACCTCTGTTACCGATATCGACTTGACAAGCGTTTTCGATAGTTAACAATACTTGGTCGTGAGGCATTTACTAGTTCAGGAAAAATGACAACAAATTAGCCCTGTGAACGACCGTCTCGAATCTCACCTTGTTTTCTCTCGATTCGACAATTCACATCTGGTAGACCACCCATGTGCATGAACAGTCATTAAAATTGAGCAGATCAATAGAGCTGTTGTGTGGTTGCCACTTGTCTGAAGGGCTGGTCCTCGTGGATCCACGCGCACAGACTGTGTGTGCTACGTCACGGAACACGTTCGGTGACGTCAACAACAACAGCCGTTTACAACTAGCTCGCCTCGCCACTCTTCGAGTCGCCTCCACTTACAATATACCTTCGAGATGGAGGTAGAAGTGCATGCTCACTCTGAAGATTCCGAATGGTGCCTTTCCACCACATATTTCGACAATCGCTCTCTACGGCGCATTGTGCGTTTCTCAGCGCACAAATGCAACAGCTTCTGACTGATCCAAGCAGCCCCAGTTGACCGTCACTGTCTGCTGGTGGATGTATGTTCAAATCACCACCCACTCCTGGTCCAGGGTTCCACACAATGTGAACGGCCACTTTGTCCGGCTCCGTAGTGCATGTATTATACATGCACTAATAGTGTACAAATATACATGACATACATATCTCGTCAATTCTCTCTCCTTAAACCAATCTGGGTGCTTACGATGGTAGTCTCTCATCCCCATCGCCCAGATCCGACCACCGCTTTTTGAAGTGTATGAAGTGTACTGGGTTGTACTCAAGCGTGTTCATAACACGAAGAGAAATTCCATCAATTCCTCACAGACAGTCTATGGGGGGGGATATAAATGCAATACATATCCCACGGTAGGTAAAGACCTGGCTGGTTATAAAAAGCTCTCAACCATACATATGCTAGCACGCGCGCACACACACGTCCATTCCCCCGATGAAATGCTCGATGGATTCTTCCTTAGCTTATTTTATATGTCTGAGGCTTGCGATAGCTCGACCAATCTCCAATTCTGTAGAGATGGTGATACCCTCCATTCTGAGGTGTAGTGAGAGAAGTGTGGTATGTCCAACCGCTGGACCGAATACCAATGCTCACTACGGGAGTCTACGAATGACGTATCGAATAACCAATTCACCTTCCCCTCAACTCTCGTAACAACCAACCTAATACATGAAAAATAATAACAGGCAACCTCACACCGCAGCGATGAGGTCATGGAAGAACTGCTGCAAGAGCGAATAGTAGCCCACATAACTTAGCCGGTTCAGACCAGGCACCACCACCTCGGTGGCCTCGTAACTGATGACAATGCTCATGACTTTAACCGATTGAGTTCTACTATAAAATACACTTGTCGGAATAGGAATTCCTGGACACGAAATTGATTTCACTGAATCAACGAAATTGGAGTCCTTATGGCATTGTGTTGAAATTGAAGTTCCTATCGTCGCATACGGTCAAATCAAAATCCTTATTGTTGCATACGATTGAAATTGAAGGTTCTAGAAGGATATCTCAAATTCCATTCCGTCCGCTCATCCGAATAGAAGTTACTACAGGACCAAGGCCATTTGCTACCCTATTACTGGTACTGTTCGTGCGAGAGTTTGGACGGATATTGTTGAGATGATCCATGCCCCATACTTGGCAACACAACCAATAGAGACAGTGAAGGGAAAGAAGGGTGTCAATACGAATGTATATACTACACTTAAAACCAATACGTTCTAGTAGCCTCTTACCATGGAAAACTACTATACACCGATACTACTACGACAACGAACCGAAATGGAAATATACTCCATAAGACTCAAGGAAGCCATAAAGCTTTTCTCCAGCTTCAAGGGCTGATAACATCAACAACTTGAGACGACGACGACGCCGATCTCGGGGATGACAGTTCAGCTTTAAGCCCACTATCAGATGGGATAGAGTCGTTGTATTTTCGACTGAACACGCTAGCAGCAAGCCATAGGACGACAGATATCAGTAACCACAGTCCACAGATACAAAGGGACCATCGGTAACCAATATGATCGTTCCAGATACCCATTAAAATGGGACTGGGGAAATCTCCGAGAATATGACTCACACCAATTGATATTGCCAAAGCCTGACCACGTAAGTTAGTCGGTACTGCCTCCATAATGGCAACGTTGGTCGGCGCCGTAGACGAAAAAAGTAGGAATTCTGTGACAAACATGAGGACGAAAAACAAGTAAATGGAATTACTCCATCCGGCCGAAGCAGCAAAAGGAACAGCGGCAGCGACAAGGACGAATGCCAGAATACACGAGACGTTGGTACGAGACCTACGGCCAGCAAGCTTACGGCAAGCTACATCAAGAGCATACCCACCAAGTAGAGTGCCGAAAATACCACATACCACAGTGACGGCACCAAAACCCATACTGCCCACTGTTTGGGAAGCCTTCCAGATCACTACAATAGATGCAGGACCCCAGTAGGCAAAACCACCAACAGCAAACATAAAAGCTGAATAACCAAGAATTAATGTCATATAGGTAGGGTTACTGCCCAAGACGACGAATTGCTTCAAAAGATTCCCGACTTTGTATTCTGTTGCCTCTTTCGCGGGGACTTTGAAACGATTCTGCCAAATAAAGGCAAGGACGATGAGGATGATCATCAATAAGGCCTCGCCCAGAAAACCATATTGTCCGGCCTCCCACGTGGAGAAAAAACCGGAGCCAACGTAACCGAGGGCTTGACCGACATAAAGGGCCATAAAATACAGACCGAGATAAGTAGAGCCCCTCCCCGGGGGCGCGGCATCGTCAATAATAGGGGGAGCTAAAGCACAGAAGGCGGCCTCTCCAACGCCAGTTAATGTACGACAAGCCACAATGAAACCGAATGAGGTCGGTACCACTCCAGTGAGGAGGTTCGCTATGACCCAGACCATAAGGCCGATGCAGATCGAACGAATCGTCCACACGCCCGACAATTGGCCGAGAATCGCGAACAGGGGAGAGGCCACAACGTAGCCCAAAATGAACATACCACCGAGAAGCCCAACTTGGAAGTCAGTGAGATCGAGCGAATTCTTCAAGTAGAGGTTCAAACCAGCAATGAGGCCTCTGTCAAAATACACCAGAATCTCGCATAACGTGAAGAAAACGAGATGGGTTTTGGGGCCTAGGAGAGATGGAGGCTTATGCGAGACGTTTGCTGGTGCCATGTAGCTTGATAAAGATGATGGAGTTCAAAAGCTACTGATAGGAATTTCCTATTAGGAAAGGTCGCCTCATAGCTTGCATAATACACACGCACGCACCTGCATTCGAAAATTCACGAAAAATGTTGCCAGGGTGTATCGAACCCGCGACCTCCTCGTGTGCCTTCCTCCCTTGGCAACACATCGGTACCTATTCCCTACACGTGGTGGACTGACGAGCTTCTGCATAACTGAGGTTGCGCTCGAACGCCCGTCTCGGAGAAACGACAATCTCACTCAGAGCTCGTGACTTGGCGCCCGCCGCGGGCGGCCCGCGTCACTGGGTTCGAGGCGTCGTGGTGACGCTTGCTGGGGGAGTTACTGCCTGGCTCGTACAGCTGTCACCACAATGCCAAGAAGTCCACTATCGTGCTAGACTATCGAATTCGTTACTGTATCGTCGACAGTCATTTTCCTCCTGGTGAAATTATCCCCAGTAGGGATTCTATTGGGGAGGTTTACTCGTGCGACTGTCCGCGTGAGTCACGCGGCGTGATCTTCTGAGAAACTGGTTTCGTCTCCGAGTCACTTTCCGTGTGGTTCAGTGTATTGATTCCTGTGGAACTTATCGTATGTCAGCTCTAACAGCCACTTCCCGTTGTAACGCAACTGGTCATCGCTCACAAATGATTACCGTTATGGTGATAGTCACGAGAAAAAAGACGCGTCACGAAATCGTCCTGCTTTCGTCTAAACACCCGAGAGTCCACCGCCCCTCCCTCAGTAGTTCGAGAACCAGCGTAACGTATTGCAAATCCGAAACGGAGCCTCCTACGCTAATGCGACGGACAGAGGAGGTACAATTGGACGGTCAAAAATCAGCACAACCGGGCACGCGATAGTCGCTCAAAGCACGCGAACGTGAATCTAATAAAGTCGCTTCAGATTGAACTAGATTGTCTCTCCTATAACGGAGTAAACTTGAGTTCGTAACCGCGCTTGAACCGCTGGAACGGTTCAGAATGCGAGCCATAGCCTCATTCGCGTCGGAAGGCAGCCCCCCAGCTGAATTGTTCACAATCGACACTTTAGTAACAGCAATCATGCCTCGCAGGAGCAGAAGCTAGTATCCAAAAACTCTATGGAAAAACGCAACAACAGACGGTCAAGGAAATATTCATGTTGGCTCTGCCTCCCCAGTGGCATCTCCAGTCTGCCGTATTTCGCCCTCCGAAAGGGAAGACCCCTGATGACATTCAACCGATCTCCGACGCTGTCGTATTTCACCTGAACAATGGTCGCGCTCGAGTTGTCACTGCGCCACGAAATTAAGCCTCACCTGGCGACCTCTGCCCATCCAGATCAGGCAATGAACTCCCACTCGAACCAAGCAACATAGTCGTAGCAACGCTGACGGCGGCCAACTCGCCTTGCACTCCGATGTAACCAGTTACCCACCTTTCGACGACCTCCGTATTGGACACCCTCAGTGAGGAGGAGCAAGAAGTGCCCTCGCTAGCAGTAACAATATGAGCCGAAACCGCGGCATCTAACATCGCGCCGTAGGAGACCGCACACGATCTCCATCATAACTCACCGTCAACTTCAGCTGCTCTAGTCAGTGGCAACTCAATAGCATCAGTCTGTGTTGTGTGCTAACATGTGCATAATCACGTACTATCCATGAATCCCCTCACCGTTTCAGCTGGAGCCTTCCTCTGCGCCTCCTCCCTTCTACCCTCGGGAGGCTCTTCCAAAACCGGCAATGGGTCCACTCCAGACTCCACCCGCTCAATCTAAACACTCCACACTCCGTCATCATTAGCGCTGCATTCCTACCTCGACAGTTTGCAACCCTGAATGCCTCGACTCGGCAACAGCCTCAACGCCAGCCTCAACACCACGTGCCTGATCGACGACCACCTGCTCCGAGCGCGCGCTTTTGTCCTCTCGATGTAGAGCAGATGGTGGCTTCCGCTGAGCCATCCCACGAAGGCACTCCTCCACTTCCCCCAGCACGAGGTCAGCGATCCCTCCATGCTCCCCGACAACACCAGAGGGCCCTCGAATACTCCTATCGCCCTCCTCTCCTTGTAGGATATCTTCAACTAGTTCACTCAAGACCGATTCCTCAGCTCTACTCGCCGCACCATACTTCCCCATTAGCCGCTCCACCAAGGACTCCCCTTCGCTTCGTACTGCCATCGACTCCCTTACTCGAGCTTCAACGACCCTCCCAGGCACCTCAGCTGTACTTGCCAGTGTGCTCCCTGTGGCCCCTAGACCCGAGACCCGAGGTTGGGCCGCTACCCCTGGGGGTATGAGCATAACAAGATCGTTCACAGCGTCCCACTTGGCCGTTGGAGTCGGACCCGGGGCCATCTTCCGCTTCCCCACAGCCTTGCGACTCGCCCCCACCTTTCCTTTCTGCCGCCGAACCTTCTCCCGTGGTGGTGGGGGTGGTGCTCTCTTCCTCACAGGCGGCGGCTCGCGAGGTATCTCACAGCCCAACACCGTATCGTCCCACTCTGGATGCTGCTGTTGCTCCACGACAGAGGCAGTCGATACAGCCTTATCAGTCACCGTAGGAGAGGCCCGCCGAACTGCACCCTCCACCTCCCTTTTTGCCGTGACCTTGGGCTGTTGTCGCATTCGATTTCTGATGCTCTTCAAAGTGGGATCACCACTCGCGGTACGGCCTCGCCTATCCTGTTCTGACCGAGCGACCTTCGGCCTCAGCACTCTCTCAGTCGCCTTCAACTTATCAAAATACGCGGGTTTCTTCGATGATATACCATAGCCAGGAACTAGGATCACAAAATAGGCGGAGCGAAGCTCTTCACACACTTCAACTCACCAGAAGCCTGTGCGGCTGCAAAGCCCTGAGGACTCTCGTTCACCCAAGTGCTCCCGACGGCAACTCTCGCACCAAAGTACGGTATCGCTGGGGGCTGACATACACCTCCTCGTCCTTGTTGTTGTTAAAGCCAACTCACTTTCCTCATCTTGGGTCTCATCAAAGGGGATGCTTCCTTCTTGCCCTTCATCGTTCCCTTCTCCAAGTCCAGCATTTTCAAGAGACTCCTGTCACCATCAAAAGCCCACTTGATCGACCTTGCCTCAGCCATCAGAGCATCAACCTCAGCCCGAACTCCATCATAATAACCTCCTATCTGAACCAGAACGGCCTTTCCAGAGCTCGACCCCGGACCCCACCTCCCACCTGTACTCTACTTCCTGCAGGTGGTCTCGGCCGCTCGTCCCCTCCATCCACACCAGCTGATGGACGGCCCTTATCGGCTTGAAGCACCGCATCAGTCCGCATGGTGACGGCTTTCGTCAATACCTACAGAGGTCCCTGGTTCAATCCCGGCACTCTGTACTTCTCCAACACCGACCTCATCCAGTTGCCTCTGAACCAGCTTCAGCTCGCTCTTCAGCCCAGCCACAGCAACACCTGCCGACGAGCCTACAAGGCAATCCGATGCACAACAACCGATGAAAGTATCCTTACTCGATGGTGAACTGGCGCCATTTTTATGCTGATGATGACAGCAGTTCTCCTTATTGGCTTCATCTCTTTGACGACTTGAGCTTGCTATCTCCGCAACAGTAGCCTTGAGTGCAGCCTCAAAGTTAGCCCCCGTCTTCAACTGCTCCACAATCCTCTCACTCCTCTCATTCAGCAGTGTCAATGCAAGCTGAAGACCACGACCATCATCATAATCAGCGACCAAGATCGAGGAACCAAGTCCAGAGCGAAATGAGCAATATCTCCCTCTCTCCCAACACTGGTACATCGAGCTTGTCCTGAGCCTCTTTCTGTGCTCTATCTCTAGCATACTCCTTCTCCTGCTCTTCACTCTGCATTTGCTTAGTCAAACCATCAACATGCATCGATAACACCTACATTTAACTCGACCAAAGGCCCTACTAGAACTCTTCTAAAAGCTCCCTATTGTCGATACCACTCGCCCGTCTAATTTCTCACAGTTAGACATGTTCAACAACGTACTGCTCGATACGCAACCGATGGTACCTGTTTGATGGCCATAGTAAGATCTTGGTGTTGTCGTTGGGTCATTTGCATGTGCTTCTCCAATAAGCCCGTTTGCCTCTGTACCAGCCTATCTTGCCACATTGTCCTCATAAAGTCAGGATGAGTGGCCAAGTACTTCTCACACTAAAATACATTCACTTTCAAACGATTATGCTCATCACAGTACAGGGACCTCATATCAGTGTCTACACTCTATATGCGCAGTTTCAGAATGAAGCTCCTCATAAATCTCGAAAAACAATCAACATTTTTCATATTTGCATATCAAACTCATACGCCCTCTATACTAGATCAGAAACGTCGTATACAGCATCAAACGCTACAGCCAACTACACCTGCCCATACCCAGTGCCCTTCGAAATGATCAACACAACATGGTCGACACATTTCCCCTCCTTTCTACTGCTCCACCACAGATTGCTTACTTCATCATCGAAGTCCTCAACCGCCTGCTCACTGAGCTGAACCCGAGCTGCCGCTGATTCCGCTGCATTAACATCATGTTTATATCGCGGTGCGATTTTCGTAGTCCTAAGCCTAGCGATCAGATTATCTCATCTCTCGAAAGCTTACATGATCTTCTCATCCTCCATAGTGTTCTCGATACACATCTGAGTTGCATTTATTGCTTGTGGTATTGTAGACACCGATTCACTCGACATTCATTCAACCGCATTCATATCTCTAAAGAGTCCCACAGCTCCTCAGCAGTCAAATACAGGGTAAGCTATGACCACGTCCAAACCATCACATACTAGAGTGCTCACTTGATTCTCCAACGATAAATCGTCACTATATCTATAGCTCGAGGACCTCGAAAAATTTGACGAAAAACTCAGATTTTTTCCGAATTTTGCCAAGTTTCCCACTCCCACCACTGTTACAGCTATTCACAACACCACTCCACTTCCAACTGAGACAATTCTTATTATAGTTCTATACAGCAAATATCAGCTCAATTATATCTACTCCTTCACGGGCTCTCATCACTAGACATCGTCAAACCCCCTGAAGTGACAGAGTTGTGGTATCAACTTCCCAAAATTTGCCCACCTTGGTTTTTCGTCAACTGTTTAAGAATATCACTTCGTTGCTTCTTATTCCATTCAGCTGACGTCATTGACACCACCTAAGGCACCACCTCCCTTTCCCCCTCCCAACACCAACTTACCGCTGTCGCAATCTTATTTGCCTTGGATGCTCCCACCAACCGAGTGACCTCTAGATAGTGTACCATAAGTAGGTTAATGTCATTGTCCGTCAAAAAGGACCGTATTGTCGCATTAATCTCGATGCACTTATTCACACTAAAATCACCTCCCCCTCTACCACCAGCAGCGGCATCATCATCGACTCACTCCGTTCGTTCCAATGCTCCCACTTTATGGTTGGTGAAGTAGTCCACCACCAGAGCCTCATCGGCGGCCATCACATCGGGCAGCTTTGGAAACCGGTCCAGCTTGGGCTTGTTTTCACATAACGATCTTATATACCCCGACACGATGACATCCAAAACTCCTCTAACCTGACGGAAGATCCATCGTTCGCTCGAAGCCGCATTCCTCCCTACCGTGTAAGCATTAGTAGCCTCAGTGGCGCCCTCTTCCTTCAACTGCTGTGCGAAAGCCTGACGACAAGAAGCATCATCCAGAACACCAACATGATGGCATCACCCCAGCGTTCCGGACGGACTCGGTCATCGGCGTCTCGACTCTCACTAGAAGTCGATCCTTATTGAATGCCTTAGAAATGACCGACCTATTATGAAACTGTATGAGCATTCAAGAACAACAACAACAACAGCAAATACAGTAATGATGATGATAATAATAATAATAATAATAATAATAACAACAACAACAACAACAACAACAACAACAACAACAACAACAACAACAACAACAACAACAACAACAACAACCACAACAACAACAACAACAACAACAACAACAACAACAACAACAACAACAACAACAACAACAACAGCAACAACAACAACAACAACAACAACAACAACAACAACAACAACAACAACAACAGCAACAACAACAACAACAACAACAACAACAGCAACAACAACAACAACAACAACAACAACAACAACAACAACAACAACAACAACAACAACAACAGCAACAACAACAACAACAACAACAACAACAACAACAGCAACAACGACAACAACAACAACAACAACGACAACAACAACAACAACGTACTTATATTTAGGTTTGAAGTATACTTCCGCAATGTGTTGCCCAGTTTCCTGTGCGAGATTACTAAATGCAGTCGCTTGCCCAGCCATGCACGCGCCGTACACTAAAACAAATACCATAAAACGTTCAAGACCCCCTCGCAAACTCCTTTAATACTTCATAAAATAATTACACTGTTATATTATATACCACTTTCAACTCCTTTTATAATATACACTAAACGCTTCTTATAACGGAATTTAATCCCCTTGGCTAAGACGGGCCTATTCTGAAAATGGGGGAGTAAGTAATTAGAATTTGTGGAAGAGATTTGAAAATGTGAATTATTAACGCACGATTATATCCACCTAGCTTAAAAGTATTAATAAAGAGATCCCATATGTACCATATACGTAGTGAAGTGATAATGTTATATACTTTTCCTCATCGTATACGCTCATACGTATGCTGACAGCAGCAGTACGAACAGTCCCAAGCCTCCCCTCACCTCGCGTTTCCGGCGTCCTTCGAGAATTCAAATCATCAGCCGTAGTTGCGCAAAAACCAGCCACAGACTGAAAACCACTTCCATAAAAACAACAACACCACCGCTACAACAATAACCACTTACCCCCGCCTCATTCGAGAACGCTATCATAAACTCCAACGGCGGAATCGACGAGCTTTTCGAAGACCCACTCCTCTGCAGTTGACCAGGAGAGTCGTCATTAGTGACAACACTACTCCCACTAGGTGCCACTGAGGCTGTACCGCTAGAGCTGTGTTTTTGACCCGACCGTTTTGCTTTCCCCAAAGCCGCTAACATGAATCCACCTGTAGTAGCTACACCAACATCAACACCTCTCACCTGTGGCCTTCCCCTTCAACCCCTTCTTATGGTTTATCGCTGAAGTGGTCCGACTCACTCTATTTTTCATCAGCCTCCTAATACGAAGTCGTCCACCATATATACTGCCAACATAAGACTCTACCATGCACAGTTGATAACAGCTACAATTCCACTAATGGTGTGCTCTGTAATGACCGTAGCACTATACGGATGCGATCGGACCGTAGTCGCTTGCACGTCCAAAGTACCTGACAACAGGAAACTCTTAAAAAGAGCCTCCCGAACCCTACATAGTGCATGCGCGACCAAAACAAAACCGACCAACTACTCTACGCATGCTCTACATGGCATGATATTTGTATAAAATGTCTACGACTAGCGAAAAATTTCTGCGAATTTACTGTGGCTAAACTTGAATGCCACTCGATTCATCACACAATGGATAATGTGTATCACTGAGTTTTTTCACAGTTTTTTATTGTCCTGTATAGACCGCACGCGCAAGATGAAAAAAGCGCGCGCCCAGGACTACCGGGGGTAATGAAATTTCGGTTTTTTACGAAATTCCATCGAACTATATTTTTATATAATGGAGTTTCACCACCCTAGTGATATGGAAAAAAACACTAGTGAAGAATACATTCCGCGACTACTGCATATCACCGCGAATATCGCGTTTTTCACCGAGTATTACACCACTTCACGTAAAACGGGGCGTGAAACTTCACTGTATTGGAGTTTACCCCGCTTAACGTGAAGTCCCATAATACTCATCTCTTTCCGTGAACAATAACACAATTGTTTTCCACGACGAACTTAGTTGTGAAATCTGTTTTTCACATCACCAGTGAAACTCCATTACTATTTATTCAAAGTGCGTAATATCATACAAAATTGATAATGATAAAATCTATATAAACGCTCCTACTCTTGATCGCCCTTAGTAGATGCGGCGTCCACGACGTGGTAAGACAATACTGCCCATGCTCCAACAACTGATCGGATCAATTATCACCACTGATACCACACCATCCCCCCTTCTCACCAATTTAGGCCCATGCACTCCTTCTCCCAGCGAATTCTGGCATTTAGGCTCCCACACATTAGTAGTTTGCAACTGCTTGTCAATGTCTTCAATAACAGCAGTCTAAACACACTCAATATTTCCACTCCATAAAAATATCTTGCCCAACCTCCAACTCCGACCCCAGCCTCTGCAACACAGCCTCAAGCTGCTGTCGCCACGCCAGGTACGGTCTAATCATAATTTCATGGCGCGCGACAAAAACCGCCATCTACTCACCCATTTTGTTCACTAGTTTCTCCTTTCTTCCGCGTGCGCAAAGATACGCTATCACGCGTACCATTCTTACCACCTCCCTAAAGATTCCTCCAACAACACCTCCTCAACCGTTCGTGATACCTCTTGTAATAAGGTTCTATTCAAACCGAAAATTTTATCAATTTCTGCCCGCAATCTCGCCACCGCTTCAAGTAGCGCTGGAAAGTCCGACGACAACACCGCCGCCGCCATAGGCTGAGAAACAAAAACGACTTTGACACATTTCAACACTGTTGGAAAAATGTATGTTCGCTTTCCCCAGCTGAGCTCAGAAAATTTCTCACTAATTCCGGTAAAAAAGTGCCGAAAAAAATGAAAATTTCCCGAATTCCCATAATGCGCATATATTTTTTTGATAACCAGTCTCCAGACTAAACTCGCCTTCACCGGCCCTTTCCCCTTGTTTGACATATCCCCAAAACTGTCATGCATCTTCCACTGCGCTCGTTCGTCCAGCCATCTAAAACATCACTTCTATTGGAGTTTCACAACCCGTTTTACGTGAAGTGGTGTAGTACTTTCCAA